ATATTTCTAGACTCATTTCAGTACGCTTTGCCAAATTTCGTGCAAACCAAAGGATATATAGTGACTGTGGTGCACCATTTACCTAAAATCGGACGAAAATATATATGGGAGCTATATCTAAATTTGAACCGATTTTTACGAAATTTAACAAACATCTTTCTAGACCTAATTCAGTACGCTATGCCAAATTTCGTGCAAATCGAAGCGATATCTAAATCTGAGTTTCGTCCTTGGCCCAAATAAATGAGCTGTGCAAAATGCCATCCAATTCGAATCAAAATGCAATGCGAATCAATTTAACATGGACAGGCAGACGGACGAACGGACATGCGTAAACGACTCACAAAGTGATTCTATGCATATTCTCAAAAGGAACCACGTTTCTATCTCGTTTCCTTTTGCCTGTTACAAACATATGCACAAAGACATAATACCCTGAACAACAGTGTTCTGAAGGGTATAAATACGCCTTGAATATTATATAAATGTCATTCAGTTTGCAATGTCGGATAACTCATATAGGAGATATATTCTTGATCATAATAAAATTGTATGTTGATGTAGCCATGTCCAATTTTCTGTTAAAATCAAGCTAGTTATCGCAATATAGCAGTGTATGCATTCCGTCCGTCCTCCCGTCTGCTATTCATATATTATTATAAACAAAGTTATGATCGCATTTATTATCCGAATGATATGAAATTTGGCACAGCTCATATATAAGGACGAACCCTATTGAAATGGGTTCAGATTTGAATATAGTTCAGTTGTATCAGGTTTCATGATGAGCCGAATTTAGCCTAGAATGACGTATATTGAGTTTTGTTGAAATCGGTGTATGGTCACATACACTTGTGACCAAAACTAAAGCAACTCAAATTGCAAGGTTAATATATGCCACATAACCTTTTTAAAAGTGTTGTTTTTTTTCACTTTTAAATCGAATACTTTATTCATTATGAAATAAATTATAATTTACGAATAACGGAATTGTCTCAATTTTTGCTTGGACAAAACTAAAGCAACTCCACAGTACAAACAGATTATCTCTAAAAATTTAGTTATTTATAACGGCGAAATAACTACCTTGTTTCGGTTTCTACACCTATTGCGATTCTTATAGATCATTTTTATATGGATTTTATTACAATAAAATGTGTCTGGATTTCAATTTTGACTTACTGCCAAAAAATAATGTAAAAATTGTATCTCAAAATATATTTTGGTGAAGTATTCAATAAATAAATCCGTAATTTCTTGATTTATAAGTCGGGTTTATGCAGCTAAATCGGTAATGAACGTTCATCACGATGGAAGGCAGCAAAATAACATCAGTTCGTACTGATCAACAGTTTGCCATATTTAAGACTCCAACGGAATTGGTGAGAGGGTTATCGTTGGATATAACCTCAAGAACAAAGCGTGGACGAGCTATGGTAGCAGGTTACATGCCCGGAAACGATCAAGAAAGCCATATTATTTTTGCTAAAATCGGAATGCTAGATTACCTCATATTAATTGGAATCCGACTAAGTGGAGAAATATTATTTTTTTCGGATGAATTAAAATTAAATCTTAGAGACTCAGACATGAACACAATTAACGTGAGAAGATAAAATAATTAAAGGCTCAAGCCACAGTATTGCAAGGGTTCTTGGTTCAACAATAGTATGGGATTTTTTCAATTTAAAAAGTTCGATATACTTACGAGATTTGTGTTATAATGGATCGGATAGTTTATACAAATGGGTTTGAAAACGCTACAGTCCCCTTCGCTGAAGAAAATATATCACTGGATATCTCAGCATGGCAATCACTTCGAACATACATCGAAACAGGTCAACGATTGGTTGCGGGAGTCAAAAATCAGGCTTTTACAATGGCCATCACAATCATCAGATCTCCACCGTTTAGAAACATTTTTGTAGTATCATAGATAGGAAAATCAAAAGAGATTCACAAAGAAACACACATAATCTCTTCCCACCGGTTTAGGATTCGAAGAGTAGTATACCCAAGGATCAAATCTTATAGCTTTATTGCCGCGTAGGAGTATTGCCGTAATCAAAAATAATGGTTGCGCTTTGAATTACTAGCAATATTTACTTATTTATAAGAACAAATCAAAAAGTTGCTTTAGTTTTGACCAAGCAAAAATTGGGTCAATTTAGTTTTCCATAGAATATGATTCAATGCCACGTAGGTGTGCTGACGTAATGAAAAATATTGGTTATGCTGTCGATTACTATGCTGTCGATTACATCCCGAACCTTTAGAAGAGGTTATGTCTGTTTGTTTGTGAAACTCTTTTGATTTTGTAATCCATGATACTCAAAATATTTTCATATAGGGTAAATATCTGATATCTTGTATTGGCCATTATAAAACCCTGATTTTTGACTCCCGCAAACTCCGCAAACATACACCAAAATATGTCGAAGTTGGCTTCGACCCTTCACCACTTTAAGTAGTACTGAACTAACTTCAGTACGTGGTGCAAAATTTTGGGGCAAACTTTTGGTTTTACTTAACCCTTTGTGGCCCAATGTTGCCCACAGGCATAAAATGTTTTAGAGCTTATTTTTAATACGTAGCTAGTAGATGTATATTATTTGGATTGCATATGTTAAGACCAGATTATGGACGACACATATCAAAAGAAAAATATAAAAAAAATCAAATTGTTGGCCATGTTATAAGCTTTTTATACCCTTCACCACACTGTGGTACAGGGTATTATGTCTTTGTGCCTATGTTTGTAACAGGCAAAAATAATCGAGATAGACCCATGGTTCCTTTTGAGAATATGTATAAAATCACTTTCTGAGTCGATTTATGCATGTCCGTCCGTCTATTGGTGTTAAATTGCAAACAAAGTACAGGTTGCATTTATGATCCGAATTGGATGAAATTTGGCACAGCTCATTTGTTTGGCCCAAGGACGAACTCTATTGAAATTGGGAAAAATCGGTTCAGATTTAGATATAGCTCCTATATATATTTTAGTCCGATTTAATGAATATAGTCCACTAAAGTCCCTATATATCTTTCGATTTGCACGAAATTTGGCACAGCGTAATGAATAAGGTTTAGAACGGTGTCTGCCAAGTTTCGTGAAAATCGGTTCAGATTTAGATATAGCTCCCATATTCGTCCGATTTAAGGTATATTGTGTACCAACGTCCATATATATCTTTTGATTTGTACGAAATTTGGCATATCGTACTAAATTAAGTCTAAAATGATGTGTGCTAAGTTTCATGAAAATCGGTTCAGATTAAGATATAGGTCCCATATACATCTTCGTTAGATTTAAGGTAAATTGTGTACCAAAGTCCATATATATCTTTCGATTTGCACGAAATTTGGCACAGTGTAAAGAATAAGGTCTAGAATGATGTGTGCAAAGTTTCGTGACAATCGGTTCAGATTTAGATATAGCTCCCATATATATTTTCATCCGATTTAAGGTAATTGGTGCACCAAAGACCCTATTTATCTTTCGATTTGCACGAAATTCGGCATAGCGTACTGATTTGCGTCTATTATTATGTGTGCTAGGTTTCATGGAAATCGGTTCAGATTTAGATATAGCTTCCATATATAGTTTCGCCCGATTTTAGGTAACTGATGCACCAAAGTCCCTGGAAATCTTTTCATTTGCACGAATTTCGGCATAGCGTACTGAATTAAGGCTAGAATGACGTGTGCTAAGTTAGTTTAGTGAAAATCGGTTCAGATTTAGATATAGCTTCCATACATATTTTTGTCCGATTTTATGAAACTGGTGCACCAAAGTCCCTATATATTTTTCGATTTGCACGGATTTTGGTATGGATACTGAATTAAGTGTAGAATGATGTTGGCAAGCTTCGTGAAAAGATCCATAGCTAGGTCGATGGACACAAGGTACTGAAGTAATATATATTAGTTTCTGGGAAGTTTTCCTGAAATCGGTTCAGATATAGATATATAACAAAAACGCGTCGTCTGTTAGGGTACATATGTAGAATATACGCAAAGTGGTGAAGGGTAGGGAAGGGCCCAATCCGACCACACTTTTGTTACTTGGTACATTAAATCGGATGAATATATATATATATATATGGAAGCTATATCTAAACCTAAAACGACTTCAATCCAATACGATATGCAATATTTCACGTAAAGCGAACAGACATAGGCTCCACCATTTGCACCATAAAATCGGACAAAACTTAACCAAAGCATTCTAGAATAAATACCATACCCTCGAAATTTCGTGAATATAGAACAAAAATCGGACGAAAATATATATAAGAGCAATATTTAAATCTGAACCTATTTCAACAAAACTTTACGGATGTCAACCTGTAGTAATACGGTATGCAAAAGTTTGTCTCAATCGGAAAACATTCAATAGGGTTCGAAATGCGACCTGTACTTTGTTCACAAAAATACATGGACAGAGGGTCGGACGGAAATGCATAAATCGACTCAGAAAGTGATTCTATGCATATTCTCAAAACGAACCATGGGTCTATCTCGATTCCTATGCACAAAGACATACTACCCTGTGCCATAATATGGTGAAGGGTATAATAATAGAACAAAATTTTGAACGCATGCCACCTTACTATTATGTTACATGTACACTATTTTGAACTATAAAACTTACAAATAGGCACCACCAACTAGGCCCACAGTACATCTTCAGTATATTAATGCAATTATCAGATTCAAAGGTACTTCACATTCAAAGGTTTCTAAATAAATCCACAAATAGGCAGTCCCCGTTAATACCATCTTACATACATACACACCATGTGGGGGGTATGCATGCTTCAACGCCGTATGTGTGCGTGCATGTATGCAAGTTTAATAGTTAAGTACGGGAGAGTAAAAATAAGTAATAATAATGAAGGAGAATAAAAATAAAGAAAAACAAAAGAAAAAACTTAAAGTAGAAAATAAAGGGAAAAAAAAACTTTGTCATGGGAAAAATGTAAATATTGTATTACTTGTAATTTGTTAGTAGATGTTGTTGTTGTTGCTGCTGCGGCTGGGGCTGCGACTGTTGATGAGAATGATGTTGATGTTCGTGATCATATGAGGGTTCCATTTTACGTTGGTCGACGTCGTCACCGTAGATTTCGTTGTTGGTCTTCGTCACTTTATTTGGCGGCTTTGACTTTGCAACACGCTGAGGTGGAGGTGGAGGTTTGAGGTATAGCAGTACTACTACAGGTGGTGATCGTGGTGGCGGTGGTGGTGGTGGAAGCAACAAAGTCCGTTGTGATAGTGGCGATGGTGGTGGTGGAAGCGGTGGCAATGTGGACACGGCAACAGCGACGGTAATAAAACAATAACAACAACAGCAACTTTAAGATCACTATGAAAACTTTGTGTTTTTAAAATTAAATTTTCTTTGCTAAAATGTATTTGTTGTTGTTGTGGTAGCTGCTGTAGCTGCTGTTGGTGTTTGTTGTGGTTGTTGTTGGAACTTGGTTGCCTTACTAATGCCACTAATAATGATGTTAATGCCGATGATGATGATGATGATGATAGTAATAATAATAATAATGACGATGATGAAAATTGTGATGGTGGTGGTGGTGGCCAAAGTAGTACTTGATGTTGTTGCTGTTGCTTTAGGGCCAAAAGCATTTTGTTCAATGTTGCATTTTTCCGTTAGATTTTCCCTTCATCAGCAAAACGAGCGTTTCTGTTTTTCTTAAAATTTTTCTTGTTAGTTTTTATTTTCTCACACACTAACACACACCCACTTTTTATATACATATGTAGGTACACGCAAACACTTTTTTATGAGATTTCTTAAAATTAGTTTTTTTTTTACTTTTATTTTTCCCTTTTCTTACTGCTACTGTTGCACTGTGTTTTCAAATTTTCTTAACTGGAACAAAACAACAAAATTATAACTTATTTTTATTTTTGTAGGTTATTTCTTTTTTTTATTTTTTTGGTAGTTGAGATTTTCTCAGTTATTAAGTTTTTTTTTACTACACAATTACGGCCACAGGCAATGATGAAAATTTGTTTACTGACTAAAAACCCCCATTGTAGGGTTTGGCTGGCGCACAGACTGGCTTGCTGCCAGCGTACAATGTGTGTCATGTATTATTTTAAACGGTTTCCTGTGCATGACTAATTCGCTAAATTAAACATTTTTTTAATTTGAAATGAAAATTTTAGTTTTAATTTAGATAATTTTTTAAATTTGCTGGGATTTATCTTTTGTGTTTGTTTCTTAAGTCTTTTGTTTGGTGATATCTAATTTAGGGCAAACATGTTTAAACATTAAATGTGTAATCCCGAGACACCATAATGAAGTATATTTGAAACATATACTAAATAGAAGGTTGGCATTTTTTAATAAATGTTGAATTCATTCCAACTTCAACATCACTCATGACAATAAGGTAGCACCAAAGGATTCTCATATCATTGGAATCTTGCCCTTTGACCCATGAGCAGTTGTATTTTTTGGAAGAATCGCTTCAGATTTAGATATAGCTGTCATAAATATTTCAAAACTATGCAAATAGCGATTTTATTTAATTTTCTTTTTTTTTTAAGCGACATATTCTTTGACCCAATTTTATTACAAATGTATAACGAGATACTTTTGTGGTTTGTTACATAAAAAATGTGTAGAAACACAATATAATTAACATATTTACTCTAACGATTTTAAACATATGTATGTGTTTTGTATATCATTATTATATACAATTGCATATATAGACCAAAGGTATGAAAGAAGTTTTCATAATTGCATAATTGTAAAATGCTTCCATAACTAAGATAGCAATTTTTAATACACCAGGAAATGGAGAATCTGTAATATATTTAAGGGGAGGTTAAACGTTATTGGAAAGAACTACCCATTGATTGGTTAACATGCCAATAATTCGTTATTCCCAATAATTCCCATGTATAAAAAAATTGTACAATCTAATGTTTTCCGAATTATTGTTAGTCCCAATTTAGATTAGGCGAGTTTACTTGCGGCAAGTTTTTGTTTGCTGGAGAGAGGGGCAAGGGGAATAGAAATGGAAAAAAATTGCTCGTACCGACAATTTTCTGGCAATTCGTTTTGTGTATTTTGTTTGTAGTGTCAGTAATTTGAAATACCAATCCAAAACATTTTCGAACATAACAAAACATGCACAAAATATCAAAAAAAAAATTGTTTTGAAACCGAATTGCCTTGTATAGACGCATGAAGCAATTTCAAAAGAGAACGATAAAAATTGCCGCAATTAAACTTGCCTAATCTAAATCAGGACTTATGTTTGACAATCAATACTTGTATGTGTTGTTCACACTTATTATTATTCATAACCAGAGAGCGGAGCAGTCGGAAGGGGCCGGCCATATTCTATATTCCGAGTCTGGGCCACGATATTTGCATCCTCCTAATCGATTAGAGGTTAACAGCTACTCTTTCTTACCCTGGCATATTTTCAAAATCATTTTGTCGGGATTAAACGCCTTACGATTGAAACTTAGTTATTTTACACACAAAAGACTTGGTTCAGTTTAGTTAAAGGTCAATAACTCCTCTTGGATATACAATCAACTTCTCGGATCTATGCCCTCCAGGAGTAGATATATACTCCATAGAATGCAAATTTTGCCATTTTTCACACAAAAGTCTGACTCCATATGACTCCTAAATATTAGGTTGGGGAAAAAGAAATTCATTATTTTTATATGAACTATAGAACTTTATTTAACATGCTTCGGAATGTCTGATTTAGGACAAATATGCACCGTTTTTTATGATTTGTTGCCATTTTAAAGGTAACTTCATAATGCCTCTCTCATCGAAGTCCTGCTCTCTATTTGCAAAAAACTCTAGTAGTCGATTTTTCACAATCCTCCCTAGCCACCAATTTTTTATCATTTAAGAATAATCGCTTGGTGCCAAGTCCGGACTGTATGGCGGATGCATTAAAACTTCCCAACCTAGCTCCTGAAGTTTCTGGCGAGTCACGGTAGATGTGTTTGGCCCAGCGTTGTCCTGGTGGAACATGACACCTCTCCTGTTGGCCAATTCTAGCCGTTTCTGGTTAATTGTAAATGGTTTAAAACAGTTTTATGGTCGATTAAAACTGTTTTAAACCATGAAAAGAGCCCAGCTTATGCAATGCTCTGAGCCCTTTACTGTTAAAATTTTCAATTTACAAATTATCGACTCAGCTAGTGGAGGTGCCAATATTTCACGGCGCTACAATCTTTGGAAACCACACATAGCTTTAATCCCCTTACAACATAGTTGTGTTGGGTATATTAACCAACGCTTCAGCATAACTCCCTTTATAGTGGAACCAACTGAATTTTGTTTTTCGACGCAACGATTCAGCCGGAATATAACTATTCGAGAAATAAATTTCTGTAAGAAATTTTAAATTTTAAAGACAAATAAGATCAGAAATTAAAATAAAACAATTTCAATACTGAACAATCAGTAATCAGATCTTACCTACCCCTAATATTCAATATGTTCGATCGTATTGGTTGTAATTTTGTATCTGTATTTAGGTAGTTTTTGAAAACTATCAATATTGGCCAACTTTTTAAAGTAGTTCCCTTTTAACGGTACCGTTCAATTTTCAGTATTTTGGGGAGTTTGGGAACGTATTTCATATTTTATTTTATTTTGGTGTCACATCTACTACTACAAAACAAATGATTAATATCATGATGAAGGGTATAAAAAGTTCTGTCCGACGGAACTTAAAAAGGTTTTTACTTATCTTCAAGCAACATTTAGCAATAATTGGGACCAGAATGTGAACCTATATTAATAATTACTACTATTGAAAAATTAGGCACCCTTAAAAATGAAAATCAAATGGAGATGTACCATTTCGTACTCAACTGTAGAGTAACTTTGAGTAATGTGGACCACCATTTTCTTTTTTTGATATTGTGGGCGTAAAAAGTTTTTACACTTATAAAAAACAAATTGTTTTCTCAACATAGTAGATTTGTTGTCTAAACATATTCCAGGTCAAACATTACATATATTTGTCTATAAACATGTTATTGCATTATATTTCAAAAAACTCTAAACTGCGTATAAAAATAACTTGGCTGGTAATGTGGACCAGCATGTGTTGGTAATGAGGATCAGTATGTTAAAGGTAGGTTGTGGATTGTTTGTGATAACTTTCAATTTATTGCACTCTTGGGTAACAATGAATGCAAAAATATATGGGATCATGTTTTGAAATAGCCCCCGTTTAAGGGTACCGTCCCATTTCCTGTATTTGTAAGGTCCTTGCTTCGTTATCCAAGAGAAGCACCGGAAATTTCGCATATCGAGTTTTCAGAGCATAGAATACCTCCTCGCATATTAAATGCGCCCATGTTTCGACCTCGTCATCATGTAAAGGTCCCAATTTTTATAGTGGTCCACATTACCCGACATTGAATATTTTTATTTAAAAATAATTATCGGCTTCAAAAATGAATAAAAATTAAAAATCACCGATTTTAATTGCAGCGTGAACGTATATTTTTATTAAAGAAAACCAGAAAACCACATAACTTCTTTATATTCGAGAAAAACAAAGTTTTCGACTATTTTCCAAAAGCGTTCGACTATTGTGCTAAAACATGCTCAAAAACACACTTTTACAATGAGAGCTACATTTTTTACTACTACATTTTCAAAATTGCTATTATTTATTAAAAACCAAGTTTGATGTTTGTTTTCACTAATTAGGAAAACATTTATCAAGGCAGCATTGACATATTTTCTTAGATGTGGGGGGGGTGGTCCACACGAAGTCAGGCGCCAACGAAACGAACTTCTCATTGGGGTCGTATCGCTGGTAACATAAGAACTTCGAATTGTCACAAGAGACATTTGGGTTTGAAAGGTTTTTTGCAAAGAAGCTATTAATAGCTTCTGGGGAGAATATCCCAACAAAAAACTAAGGGAACTGATGAGGATCAGTGGCGAGATCCAAAACTATAGTCTTCCCTGCCTTACCCCTCGGCGGACAATGCCATACATTCCCCACTAATAAATAGTTGTTTTTTTTATAAAAACAACAAACTGTGATTATGCCTGACTATTTTGCAAAAACAAAATACAAATGGTATCCCAAATAACCAGCCAAACACTACTGAATTCCGAATTAATATTTATTTAGAAATGT